CCTTGACTAAGTCCTCAACGTCCCAAGTAGCCATGGTGATCAAAGGATCTAGGCTAAGGTGAGCCCACAATTCCTATGGGCCCACTGCAGCAGAAGCAGAAGAGAATTGATTCTGCTAACCTTCAAAGTTAGAATTATGACAGCTCCTTTGGGCATGGGATAAAGGAGTTTAAGCCTTTACATGAAAGCCCCTTTGGGCAGAAACAATTTAGTTTACAAAATAAAATGAAAGCCCTATCAGCAAAACCTGTAGCAAGAGTCGGTGGGAATGGGTTCTGGGACCCTTTAAGGTTAGAAGCATATAAACTTCAGTGGGCTCTCATACCCAACCCTGGACCTTTACATGAAAGCCCCTGGGGCATAAACCACAATAGTTTCAAAATAGCAGGAAAGGCCACTGGGCCAGAAAAAAACAAGTACACCACGTGGTGTTTTTTTTTAAAAAAAAACTCCCCCCACAGTATTTTGATTCCACCCAAGTATGTTTTCATCCAGGCTTTCCATGCATTATGGGCATACAGCTGCAGCTATCAGGCGCAGATAGCATCGCCAGAAGGAACAGGGACCCCAGCCAACATGTAACTGATTTTGATCAAGTTCTTCAGGCTGGCAGGCAAAAGATGTGGGCCTTCATTCTGCTTGAAGTGCTCAAGAGCATCCTGCCTGAGCAAGCGAGCAATTCGTTTACCGTTTACGTCTATCCTCATACTACCTGAGTTCCCGTATGCTTTAAAAACATGATGAATTTCAACCTGGTAACCAAGAATCAAAACCTGATTGATGAATCTCGACATACCAGAGGCTCTTCCATCCATTGGATGAGGTCCAGGTTTGAAACTGTCGAGATACCATTGGATCAGTGGCTGAACCCCGTGCCTGACCCCTATTACTGGACATCCTGACAGCTTACACCTTGACAAGAAAAATGCAAAGGACACATGTCTGATGCACTAATGGAACACCAAAACCTGAAGCATCAATGTGCTATACTTGTGACAGCTTCAAAAAATGAAAGCATCAATGTGCTTTTTGGCTAAAAAAATGAAAGCCCTAAAGGCTGCTTATGTAAAAACAACATTATTTTTTTGATAGTCGTGCCAAATAGTAAACCAAATTAATATCAAAATCTGAAAAGTAAACAATATACTATTGTAGGTTCAAGTTAAGGTTCTGAATTGAAATGCCAACTGTTTGTTTTCCAATTTAGATTTCTGAATTGACATGGAGATTGTTTGATTTTCAATTTGGAATTCTGAATTGAAATGGTGATCGTTTGATTTTCAAGGTAGATTTCTGATTGAAATGGTGAATGTTTGATTTTCTATTAGATTTCTGAATTTAAATGGCGACTGTTTGATTTTCAATTTAAAGTTCTGAATTGAAATGGTGACTGTTGGATTTTCAATTTCGATTTCCGAATTGAAAATTGCGACTGCTTTATTTTCAATTTAGAAACAGAATTGAAATTCTTACTGTTTGATAGTTTGATATAAGGTTTTTTTAAACCACCCAGGCTTTGCTGGAGTCAGTAAGATCTTAGGCGAGTACAAGTGTTCAAGCCATACTCACCCTCCAAGTTCTTTTGCCATCCACACTTTTTGACGTAGCCCACCAAAGCTGCCACATACGCCTTCACCCGTGAAACCTCTTCCCATCGTTATAGTAGGCATCTCATCCTGTGCGCTTCTCCAAGCTTCCAAGCAACTACTAGCCCAGAAACTTTCCTGAACCAACCTCCACTAGAAGTTCCTCGAGGAGGCACGAACTCTGGTACCTGAGAATGAACAATACTAAATGCATAGGTCAAGAAACTTGAATCCCACACAGAAAGCAAAACCATAGAAACATATGATGCTTGAGAAAATGTATGAATTTCCTATCAGATACATCTTGAGTAGAGGACGGCCCAGTCGAAGCTTGAGAGCCTTTTTGTTTGGTGCAATAAAGAAGCTTCTTCACCTGGTCAGGAGTACAGGTCAACCTCCCCCATTGCTTCTGGAACTGGACCAGGTAGTTCTTTGGGGATGCATGCTGCTGAAGCCTCAGAGGGGTACTTCAGGAGTGGCAGGTGCCAACAAACCAACATCAGGTTGAACTGGCAAAACCGTAGTTGCACTGGCTGGTGAAGACGCGCAGATACCTGGACTTGGGCCAGGTGCCATTGCCATAGAAGCTTCAAGTAGTGGTGCACCTGGGTGTTTGGCTTTAGAACCTTCCACTTCTCGCAGAAAACCAGATCCACTACTGGGCTCACCTGGTGGCTGTTCTGGCAGGTCAGGCATCAGGCCATCCATCTGCAGCCTGTATGCAAAGTTCACCAAGAGGTCCAGGTCTGCTTTTGCAACTCTTCTTCATTCAAAGGATCCTGAGAGGGGACGACAGCGGGGCCAAAAACAATGAAGTGATGAGTATGACAAAATGAAGGGGGTTGGCCACCATCACCCTCCCTCTTCATCACTACAGGTGGAAGTGGTGGAACATGTTTGCATTGCTTTGTTGCTTGTGTTACATGCCCATGAGGTTCCTTTAAGGTTTTTTCTATAAAACTATGCTTAATACTAAGATTGCAACTGCAACTACAAACTCCTGACAACCAAAACATTCCCATGCATGAGCGCACAAGAGTCCCAAACTTGCATGTTCCAAAACTTTGTAGCTTGCAGGGATGGAAAGCAACACAATTGACACTGGAGGACTCTTCTGCCCAGAGTTCAAATTGGCGTGCGTTCGCGCGTGCTGGTGACAGCATCTCTTGGAGCAGAAAACGGACGCTGCGCAGGTTGAGGGGCAAGGGAAAAAATTGCGACTTTCTGTTGAACTTGTACACACATGTAGACATATTTACTTGTGTATATAGTATATATGCATATAGAATGACGTTTGATTACGTTTGTGCGAGGAGGAACGAAATAGACCCCAAAGGTCCCTGCCACATATATATATATATATGTATGGTACACGTGTATAGGTGTGCGAAATTGAGCATCAGCATCCCATTTCTATCCATTGTGGGTTTGGAAAATAGTGGCTTAAGCCAAAAATAACAGGGCGCGCACCAGCAAAAATGGGCACATACCAACCAAACTTGATTTTCAACAAGCACAAATCGTTTGACAAAATCTACAAATTCTCTACTTATGCTGTTGGATTTTTTTCCAAACAGTTTTGCGGGATACACCCTGCCATAGCCTTCTGTTCGCAGAGTCTCCAGGGTGTTGTTTGGGTTTGGAGGATCATACCACGGATCGCAACTGGTCAGTAAACATAGAAATAAAAACATTTATATATGGAATATTTACCCACTTGGGGGAGTTACTAACCAGGGTCACTAACCACTTAGTAGGCGGGATGACCCTCCAAGTGTTCATTGTCTTCCGTGTTTCCTGAATCAGTACTTTAGGCGAGCCGTGGTAGCCTTCCTCGCAGATGTGAAGAATGAGTTTCAATTGGATGACCACAGCAGACTTTCTTCAGACTTCGGGTTCAGCTCAAAGGTTCTTTCTAATTGGATGATTTCTTCTCCAGCCTTCCTAAGAATCTGAAAAACGGCCCTTGGGACCAAAAAAATGGTACCAGCCTATCCTTCAAAAATTTGCTCGCTTGGCACCGATGGATCTGGCTGAATTTGGATGAAGTGAATTCAGCCTATCGGTTGCCAGAAAATCCCAAGAACATGAAAGTCAATTGCGATTTCATCCATGTTCATCCATTTTCCATAGCTGTGTTGTAAACAAACAAACAAACAAACAAACAAACGATGCCAAACAAACTTTTTGAGCAATGCCCAGTCTGCGTTGCAACGCAACTTTAATCCCATCCCCCTGATGAATATAGCACAACCCCCCAGCCCCATTCGATGCGTGTCCCAAATATGTGCAAACACTTCACTAGATCATTGTTCCTGGGATCTGTTGAATATTGGGTGGATTATTCAATAAATTCATCATCTGAACCAAAAAAACATGATAATCCCAGTAATCCACAATGTTTGGTAAGGGGGAAGGATGATACCAAAGCTAACTCTCCTTGTTATTCCAAAATCACAAAGGGCCGTTGGATCCATTTGTTGGCCCATGCCATCAGGTGATAGGCGGCTCGACAGTGCGAAGCGATTTCGGCGAAAAGCGCTTCAAATCCTCTTGAGATGAAAACAATAAAACGTATGACCTAGTGTTTTTAGTATCTATCCATCTATCTATCTATCTATCTATCGATCGATCTATCTATCTATATATATATATATTAATGTTTGCTAATGCATTGGATGATCACATTCAGACTGACTTTCCCAGGTTTTACGAGTCGGATCATGACAGTCGTCGATGGAGATCAGCCAGAAGATCATTACCCTCTGGTTTTGCTCACAGTTTGCTATTGAAAGTGGCCATAGATTTTTTGTGGATTTACCAATAGTGATTTTCTATAGCTATGTAAACGTTTACCGGAGGCTATTTCTTTTTAGGGTCACTTGTAAAACACCTTGTAAAACACCATGTGAAACACCTGTTTCACCCACTGAAAAAGCTCTCTGACCTCTGACCAGTGAAGCTTTTTATGAATGATGATCCCCGCGGATCGTAATTGGTTTTTATGTAACCATTTTCTGAAAACCATAATTGTAAACATGTATATAATAAACCATTTACCCTCTGGTAATGACTGTTACAGTTTGCGAGCTATTGAAAATGACCATAGAAATATTGAAATAGTGGATTTACCCATTGAAAATGGTGGATCTTTCCATCGATTTTTTGTATGTTTACCAGGCCGGGTAAGTGTGAGATAAGCCGTCACGAGTCCCACGATTTGTGGGACCCTCTGGGTCACCTGGAATGCCTCGACCCTCGACCTGCCGTTGATTCACTCACTGCCGTCATCCCATGGCTGCCTCAATTGATATCAAGTTATATTAATTCATATCATGTTATTAACAATGTTGATCATGTTGTCTCATTTTCCCGGAATTTCCATGTCCCAAAAATGTTGAGGGTACCAGATTTTCAGACACGCTGCCATTGAGATTTCTGGGTTTTGTTGGCGTCGCCACAGCGCCAAGCCAAGTGACAATAGCTACATGTGCGTCCTTTGTCGCAGCCCGGTAGAGAGTTACGGAAGACACATGGATTGCCTGGAGCGATAGCCATGGATTGCCATGGATGACTGGTTTCCCACAGATTTCGGCTAGGGCCTATAGGGCTTCTAGGATGGTGTCACCCCATGTTATTTTTTGGATATGGGGCCCCCAAGACCCTATAACAATGGTGAAATAGACCCACTTGCTTCAATGGAACTGAAGCCTGCAGTGGCGGTGTTAATTTCTCTTTCTTTTGTGGCTGGAACTCTGGAACCTTCAAACGGCTTTGTCTGAAAATATCGTACCAGCAAGTTTGATGGTCAATCTTAATTTTCCTTATCAAAACTGCCATTTTGAAAATGCATCCTCCAGTAAACTACTATAGCTATGGAAAATCCACCATTTATATAAATGATTTCCCTTCATTAAAACCTCCATTCGTTTGATGACACCAGAGGTATATAGACATACCCAGATGACTACCAGTTGTTTTTCAAGCTGAAGCAGGTAAGCAGCTTCAGGTTTTCTTCACCATCTTCATCTTCCACGGGGGTAACATGCTACCGCTGCTACCCCCCAGCCCAGGGTCCCCAGGTACGCCGAGGGTCATCTGCCCTCCTGATGTTGCCTTGCGATCGTTTCGCTCGGCTCGTCCGAGTCGGAACTGGGCACTGGCACCCCTCAGCAGCGCTTGAGCTCGAAAATGAAAGAAAATCATGGAGAAACATCATGGAAATACCATCCTGGAAAGACTTTTCTATCTTCAGCCTTATGATCTATCAATATATATACATAATGCCATTGAAATTATTGAATTGGCATTTAAAACAACAAAAAACTGAATTGGTAAATTTACATCCTATTGACCTATGAATGTCCATCCATAACCCCCGTTTAAAACAGCATCGCTCACCTGTCAACGGCTACGGACGAAACCGGAGCCAAGCGTCTCGGCCCTTGGGAGGATGAGGCGTCCCTGGTTGCGAACTGGGCTTAGTGAAAACCCATCTATAAGCATAAATATAACTCGGGTTATATGGCAGTGTGTCAAAACCTTGTACCCCTGTAGTTCACATCAAAACAGTTGGTAAATGGATGTTCATTCCCCTAAAAATGGTATTAATAGGTATTGATCCATACCCATATATAAATAACCATAACTACTGGTACTGGTGTTTTTTCTATAACAGTGGGATGATGGTTAGGATCAATGGGAAAATCCCCGTTGAGTCCGAAACAAACTGGATTTTTTTGGATGATCCTCCAAGTAGCTTCGAAAAAAACGGATCTGCAAAATCATCAAAGAACAGATCTCTGTGTATATAATATATATATATATTATATTATATTATATATATTATATATTATATATATTATATATATATATTATATATATATTATATATATTATATATATATTATATATATTATATATATTTATATATATTATATATATATATTATATTATATATATATATATATATTATATATATATATATATAATATATATTATATATATTATATATATTATATATATATATATATATATATATATATTATATATATTATATATATTATATATATTATATATATACTATATATTATATATATTATATATATTATATATATTATATATATATACTATATATATACTATATTCATTAAATTTATTATATATATATTATACATATATATATATATTATATACATTATATATATTATATATGTATATGTACTCCACGTCTATGCCAGTTTACAGGAGGCTATACTATAATATATATATATGACTCATCACGCTCCAGCACTTTCTTTTCACTCATGCCAAAGCAGGAGAGTTGTTTGAAGTCAGTGAAGTCGTCACTGAATGCTGGAGCGTCAAGACACCTTTCACTAAATGAAGGTGTTGGAAGCCAATGCCCCCAGTGTGGATGGAGGGGCTGGAGGTGGAGCTGCTAGAACTTGATACGAAAAAGACGGCATTCGATTGAAACACTTCCACTTGTCGTCAACCACCTGCGAGCAGAACTAATGACTCATCACGCTCCAGCACTTTCTTTTCACTCAGGCCAAAGCAGGAGAGTTGTTTGAAGTCAGTGAAGTCGTCACTGAATGCTGGAGCGTCAAGACACCTTTCACTAAATGAAGGTGTTGGAAGCCAATGCCCATAGCCCATAAACATCAGGTGTTGATGGCTCTGGAAACTGTCCCCGCAATTAAGTCTGCCAAGGCCCAAGGATACGGTTGCGCCAGCAAGGTGCGATATAGTCCATTCGCAGCTTTGCCTGCCAAGGGCACGTGTGGACGACCAGTAGCAGAACATATGTTGCGGGTACCAGTGCACCGTTTAGAAATAACAGGAAGGTTCCAATAGTTACCCATAATAGTAGTTGATTTCTTCCAGTCTTCACCAAATTGACAATAGTCCAACGTCTCAACATAGGGCATGAATAGCTTGATGAACTTCTTCATGGGAGGCATGTGCCATGCAAAACTACTGTAAGGGTTCTCCAATGCATATGGAATATGTAATCTTTCACAAATCGCCAGAAGACGCAATGAAAAGCGAAGTAAATTGTTACCCTCCAAAACCTTCAAACGATCCTTGTGTGAAAGCCATGGATAACCATAAATGTTGTCATAGTCACGCAAAGGGTCAGGACCATTATCGTCCCATTTTCGCGATTGTGAGAAACTGGTACATGGCATGCCAAGCCCAACAGCAAATGTACAATCTGATGCTCAACTGAAATATCGAATACATTGTGAGAAGGAAAAAGGCAAATATCAATGGGGAAACATGGAAGACCACACCGTGCAAACGCACTGCAAATACGTGCAGTGCCAGCAAAAAGCTCCAAGCCAAATTGTTGCGGCAACGTTGAAAAACTCAGGACGTCAGGCCAACCATAACCTTTCATGGAACCCGGGGAGCCAACTGGCCCCGAAGAACCTTCTCGATGTTTTTCAGTGACCAACGACAAAACTCCAAATGACTCGGAGATAACTGTGCCATGAGCTTTTGAATCTTCCCCGTCTTGGCATACCTTCTGACGCTTTGATCCGTATGCCAACGACCTCTTATCTTGACTCTTTGAAAGTCTCGGTCTCCACTGTTTAAGTCTTCTGATGCTCCTCCGTGACGGCATTGATATGGGTGGAGATTCTTCAGCTGAAGACGTTCTCCTGCAGCCTGGAACTTCTTTCTGAACTCTGCCGCAGTGAACTGAAACACAAACTCGCTTGTCTTCTTTGCAATCTTCACCTGCTGCCACATGAGATCTCCCAAGTACTCCCTGCCTGGACTGTTGAGGGCAATGGTGTTGTCGTAGATGCCTGCTTTGTCGGGCTTCTGATCCACGATATCTCTCACCACAATCCCGTACCAGCGATACTGCTTTCCTGCTCCTGCCACTGGTGGGATGACGTCCTTGCAACGAATGTCTATGCTTTCGCCAGGACGTAGGTAGGTGTCGTGATCCAGCATGACTTTCAAAGCCATGCTTTTCAGCCCTTGGCTCGCCAGCACCATAGCCATGCCTGCTGCCACAAGACGAGGGAGAGGCAACCTGCTCTGGGGAGGGCGCTCCTTGCGCCAACCACGTAGTGCCCTCTTCGATCTCACCAAACAACCTTTGAGCTTCAAGTTGTTGAATTCTACTGCTGCGACAACCTTCTCTCCTTCGGCTGCCGAGCGGTTGTCTAGGAACATCACGTCCAAGAAATCTGCAAGAATGGCGTCGACATCCTTCACTAACGGCCATTTTAACCCGCTGTCCCGGCAGAAACTCTCGAACTTGAGAAGGAATGATTGATACTGATGTCGAACCTCGGTCGAGATTGACTTCTGTTCCAGAATTGTCAACCGGTTCAACTGGGCTCTCTTTCCAGCATCCTTCACCTCCTCCGACTTCAAGGCACTCACTACTCGCACCTCTCTTGGCTGCTTCTTCTTCAGCTCTACCTTCACCACTCGCTTCTTTGCGGCCTGGCTCACAGGTTGAGTTGCATTCTGCAGCTGTCCACTCTTCACCTTGGGAACTTTGGCTGAAGGTGCTGTGTTCTTCTTCAGCACTCGGCACGTGTGAGCCTTGCTCACTTTGACACCCATCTGCGTACTGGAAAGGACCCGGGCGGATCTTCCCCCTGGAGGGCCCATCGGAGACATTGCGCTCAGATGGAATCCATCGCAATCGCAAAGTGAAAGAACCCAAAAATGAAAGTGCCGCTACTTGTTGTGCAATTCTCAGCATGCGAAAACCCTTAGCTCTACCTTTTGAAATACTCAATGCTAAACCCAGATTGTCGACCAAAATAACATGTCGCTTGTTGCGATGCCTACTCGATCGAACCAGGCGGCGGAGACAAAGAACTAGAGCACGACCTTCCTTAAGAGTGATGTGTTCACCTGTCCTCCACTTTCCCATCAGGGATGTCTTCCACTGTGAAGGGTCAACCACTTCTAAAGGAACTTCTGGGAAATCATCATCAATAACATAGTCTTGACCTTCGGGAAGGGGGTCCTCATCACCTAATACCGTTTCCACATCAGCAATCGGATCCAATCCCATAGCCCGCCTTCGCGGAGCCCACTCCTCCGGCGGTAGACGCCGAAAACGCCATCTCTCATTCCACCTGCCAAGCTGCCCAACTGCTTCACAACCCAGTTGCCGTTCACAAATCCCATAACCCTGAGGACTGGCATCTGTGCAAAAAAGATCTTCACTCCAAGGCCTTCGAATACTTGCATATAACAATGGAATAAGACCCGCAAAAACCGTGCACTCTTGTCTTTCTCGGCGATTGAGCATCCGTGATTCACCCCCCTTCTCAATGAAGTCATAGCAACTGCGAAACACACTCATCCCCCCACGATGTAAGGTAGAGAAAAACATAGCGTGCCCCAACAACTTTTGCATGATAGAAGGAGAAATAGGATGACTTATCAGGTCCCATGCACGTTCCGCTGTCATACGGATTTGCCCGGCCTCACCATCAACCTCCCCACCCAAGGTGAAGAAAGAAGTAGACGCAGGTTCATCCTCATGTATCGAAAAACCAAGACCACCCAAATCCTGTGTGACCTTTCGTTTGGCCTCTTCACAAAGATCCTTGTCAGTGCTCATGCAATGGATGTTATCACAGTAAGGCATGCTAGTAACGGAATGTTTGGCGATGGAAGGAGCAGGACGGTTCTCAAGGAAAAGAGCATCTTCATCAATGGAAAGACTACGCAATACCGACTGCTGGTGAATCTGCTGCACCAAATAAAAACTCCAGGAGAATCCCATGGGGAGTACATTGATGCATGGGGAAACCCAATCCTTACCAAAATCACAACTATTGCTGCCCGAGATCAAAGCTGCCTCTTCACGCGTCACATCGAAGCCAAGGCAAAAATAATCCTGCATCATGGATGGGATGTGCACAGCATAGAAACAGTCTTGGATATCAGCTCCGCTCATGAATACGTTTGAACCCTCCTCAAGTTCCATCTCGGCCAAGCTTGCCAAGCTTCCCAACGTGGTATGTGGGGCAGGTCGAAAAAGCTGATTGGTCTGTCTACAGTCAAGCACTAATCTTTGTCTCTTCTTTACTTGACCCTCAACTACCTTGTCCTTCTTTGAAACTGTGAAAGCGCCCACCCTACCTTTGCAACCATTGCTGAAAGAAAGAATCCCCCGATCAAACAGAAGTTGAAGAAACTGAATATAATTGGACCGATCATTCAACAAAGGGTCGTTGTAAAGTTTAAGGTGAGAGCTATCACGAGAGATTGCTGTCCATGTCAAGTCATCTTGCAGCATCCTGTCCTTAAACTCACTCACCACACCACGAGTCGGCTCATCCAAGGCAGAAAGGAGGTCCACGCCGGCTGTACCAACACTAGGCAGGGACAAACAGCTGAAGTCCATTCCAACCACATCGCCCACGCTAACTTCTGGCCCAAGATAACCAGAAGCAGCCACCCGGAGCGCTTTTGAGGCTCCTGAGTTGTCTGCAGGAGGCCCTGCTCCCAAACGTTTCACAGCAGCAATGATGTCCTGAATGGCAAGACACTGAATCAAAGGCAAGTCCTCAAGACGGTCCACTGCAGCGACGTTGGATGGAGCAGCTCCCCCAAAAAATAATGAATTCAAACTGTCAACCACGCGATTGGTCATCAGGATCACATGGTTACGGCGCAGCACTCTCCGAGCAGTAGTTCGACACAACCCCCTGTCAGCAATCCCTCGCTGTTTCAAACGAGGCAAGGGAAAAGGATCACGAAGTCTATCGTCTGGCAGAGGCTCATGAAAAATCGAGCTACTCCAGTGACGCACCATGACAAAAACCGCAGTGTCAAACACGACCAGCTGGCCCACTGCACACCAGCTGGAGGAGAACCACTTACTGAGCCGCACCCCCACTTGGCTTCCCCTGAGGGGGCGCTTTCGGGGGGCTGCTAGGTTTGCCTTTGCCGCCTTTGCCACCAGTCACCTCAGCAAGTTTGCGCTTCTCCTTCAAAATCTGAGATTGCGCCTGCATCTTCCGACTGACATAATCCGTCAAAGCAGGAACAACAATGCCACCGCCAGCTTTGTAGGTATCACCTAAGTAATGTTCTGCTCCAAGGTAAGAAGGTTGGCCAGGGCTGCTTGCATGGGCATCCGCAATGAGTTGTCGCCTCCTGCAGATAAGTTCAACGCATGCAAGGTTACATACGTTGAGTGAGTCGTAGCACAACGCAGCATCCAAAACACGAGCAAGAAGTTGATCCTCATGAACACTTCTGTCGCCTGGAGGCACTCCAGACGAGTTCAACCACATGTGATGTTGAGCCGTTGCGCTCTCAGCTATTTGGGAGATTGCTCGCATGTAATCCAATGCTGTCCTTGGTTCCAAAGGAAAGTCTTCAAATTCTGTTTGTTGCAGCTCTTTCACAGACTCCCTAAAGGAGCGATGGCGCTCACCATTGAACCCATACTTCACCTCAAGAGTCCTAGCATCTTCTCCTGCTGCACGATCTGTGCCTTCACAGCTTTCCGAAAGCCGCGCCATGCCAATTCGCACATCACAGAAGTCACTCAGCTCCGACTCTGCCACACGATGAATGAGTCGAGGTTTGTCAATCCCCTCGGAGTCAACCATGCGCATCAGCCCAACATCTCCATCACATGGGTGTCCCACTGGTGGCACCACTCGGTCACCTATCTTCTTACCCATCACCATTTCAGCCAGTACCCATACCCGACCGTCACCATCTTGTCCCGCATCTCCACCCGCCCCAGCTGCAACAACAACTTCACCCCCCGCCGCAACCCCGGCAGGAGCAGCAGCAGCTGCAACGCCCAAGGCACCTCGGAGACGATCTGCCTCCTGACGGCCAAGATGCATGAATCGTGCCACTTCAGCTGCTGTCATCGGAGCAAAGCCATATACCGAACGATTCGGCACACCTGCAGGAATGGCGCCGTTGCCAGGACCAGCCCAAAAATTTGTGATGTCGGGGTTCTCGGCCACATTCAGGATTTCACTATACATGTCGTGGTCTGGCGTGACCACTATGTACTCATTCCCTTGCACGTGTCCCACGATGAGTCTCACGTGGATACACCGTGGCCGTTCCCCATAGTCCACATACCCCAGACTTCCAACTGCTAAAGCCATAGAGACCAGAGCTAGTGAGTTATCTGCAGACCTTTGCTACCACCGTAGATGCCCAGGGATCCCTTGCTCTTTCCCTTCACGTCAAAATGGATTTCCCGATTCTGCCCTGAGAAATTGTCTTTCAAGCTAACCTTCAAAGCCAGTGCAGTATTTGAAAACACCAGGATTGCCCCAATCACGCAGATTGCAAGCAAGGCCCAGGGTCCAATCGAATGCCCCTCCACCGAAGGCACTGCAGGGCTGAAGCTGCAGTGACAATTGCAATCCGGTTTGCTGGGAGAAGGGATGGTCCAATCACGTGCCAGCCAACCCACAACCACACCGGAAATGGCAACAACAACCGGGGAATCCATTAACCTACTCAGCTGCTAGAACTTGATACGAAAAAGACGGCATTCGATTGAAACACTTCCACTTGTCGTCAACCACCTGCGAGCAGAACTAATATACACCCTCCTGTAAACATTGCCATAGATGTGGAAAACCCACCATCAAAGTTTTCATCATTTTCCGAATGGGGTTTCCTTACCATGGGTTCTCAACATCTATGGGACACCCCATGTGCGAACTGGTCAAATTACCATGGGGATTTTCTATGGGTTTTTCCATGGGTCTCATCAGCGGGTTGATGGTTGAATCACGGTTTTTCATGGCTTTTGTTTAAATCATTTATGCAAATGATAAATCATAGGATTAGCATAAATGATAAAAAATATTACCGTGCTAATCATTTATGCTAATCAGCTAATCCATCTCATTTCATAGGAATCCATCTACAGAAGTTAGGGGATCAAATGGATCAAGCTCCCTCTGAAAAATGGATGAGCCATCCCCATGTCGTTGCTGGCTGATCCCGAAACCGCAATCGGCTAGTAGAAACCGCAATATATTTTCAAGACACCAATGGGTTTTTGACACTGCTCATTTATGGCCATTCGAATTAGAAGCTGCTTGGGGATATGAATAGGATACAAATGGGATATATAACGAACACTTGGTTTCATAATGGGTCTGTATTGGGGATATTGTGGGGATAGAATGGGATGTCGGTGGTGTGCGTTTCCTGTCAATGTGTTGCTTCCTGTCAACCAGTTCTGGGAATGCAGGGCGACTGATCCAGTGTTTTACAAGTGGAAAGATTTACATGGGGCCCGCACACAGAGATTGATGAAGATTGTGAGTAACCAACAGTAGTTCGGTGAACCTACACAAACATGACGTGTTTTGATGCAAATTTTCCGTTGCAAGGTTTGTTTATGGTGATGGCGCCTGTCAGCCGACAGCGCTGATGTAAATGTTGACATGTGTTAGAAGCCCGTCAGTGAGAAGTTTTGCCCGTCAGTTAGAAGTTCTATGTATATTTTGGGGTTGGGGAAAATGGGGTGGGGAATAATAACGTCCTGTCGGCTTCGTTTCTTGGCTTTACGGGGGGCGGGGTTTGGGGTGGGGTCGGGTGGGGGGAGGGGTAATATGGAGGTTGGCGGATGGACTAACGTCTTGATGCTACGCTGTGGAAGTTCTCTTGCAATTTCAAAGCCACTCCTGATGCTACGCTGTGGAAGTTCTCTTGCAATTTCATGCACGTTCCTGATGTTACACTGAAGTTTCCTGTATTTTCAATCACGCTCTTGATGCTACGCTGTGGACGTTCTCTTGCAGTTTCTCATACGCTATCAATGTTACGCTGTGGAAGTTCTCGACCCGCCAATTGTCAGGAGACCAATTGAAGTTGCACCTCAATCAATACGTCTGGGTGTGCTACTGGAAACATTGCAAAGTTGGATGTGGTCTCGATCTCTTGAAAGAACTTGGCATGCTCATGAAGTCATTCAACCGCAAGATCGGCTACTGCAAGTGATCTCTTCTGGGCGACAGATAAAAAAAGTTCCGGTTGCCACATGCGGACAAGTTTTCAGCATTCAATTTTTCCAAAAATCATCATTTCGCTATAGCGAAAACCAAGAAAAGTTCATTTTGAGGCGCGCCTCCAATAGTTTTTGAGCGTTTTGAAACCTGAAATGAATGTGCCACATGTCAAAAACACTGCGTTTACCACAATTTTGCACTTTCAAGAAGATAAATGACCTTTGTAACAATGAAAAAAACGCCGTCGCTCCACAGGCGCTGCCACCTTGTTTATGGAGAGGAAAAAAGGGATGTTCTCCTTTTCGTATCTGTCTGGGGTCGACAGAGCCTGTTTACTGCCCAAATGTGGTTTGGGTGATACAGTATAATGTAATAACGAAAATGCCGTGCAGTCAAATAACATGCACATGGACACGGTTTATTTCATGGAAAACCCCGAAAAAATTACACCACCGTAGGCCCCAAACAGTGGGTGGAAACAAGACGTGTTTTTGAGGAACAAGGTCAAACACATGACATGAGAAAGCATTAAGAACCCTTAACCGTACACTCTTTGGGAAAAAACGCAAAATGAGACCACCCGCCACAAAGGGAAACAAGAAGAGAGACAAGCTGGGAGACAAGATAGGAGACAAGACCTCGGGAAGGCGGACACACCGTCCAACACGAAGGCGGACACCTTAAGAAAGCATTAAGAACCCCTAACAGTACACTGTTTGAAAAAAAAACAAAGTCAGACCACCCACCACAAAGGGAAACAAGAAGGGAGACACTGGGAGACTAAGGGGGAGACAAAACCGCGGGAAGGCGGACGCACCATCCAACACAAAACGTTACAGGCACACATGTCATGTGGGGAAACAATGGGAGACAAAAGGAGACAAGACCTCGGGAAGGCGGGCACGACATCCAGCACAGGCACACATGTGGGGAGACAAGAAGGGAGACAATGGGAGGCAATTGGGTGGACAATGGGAGAAAATGGAAGACAAGTGGAGACAAGACCTTGGGGAAGCCGACAAACCATCCAACACAGGCTCACATGTGAGGAGACAATGGGAGACAAGGGGAGACAAGACGTCGAGAAGGCGGACACACCATTCCAACAAAGGGAAACAAGAAGGGAGATGGGAGACAAGGGGAAGCAAGACCTCGGGAAGGCGGACACACCATCTAACACAGGCAGACAAGAGGAGACAAGACCGCGGGAAGGCGGACACACCAAGGCTGAGGCACCATCCAAGACAGGCACACATGTGCGGAGACAATGGGAGACAAAAAGGGAAGACAAGACGTCGAAAAGATGCACCATCCAACACAGGCACAAGTGTGGGCAGACAATTGGAGACAATGGGCTCAATGGGAGAGAAGGGGAGACAAGACCTCGGGAAGGCGGACGGGACACACCATCCAACACAGGCACACATGTGGGGAGACAATGGGAGAGAATGGGAAACAATGGGGGACACGTGGAGACCGGGGAGACAAGACCTCGAAAAGGCGGGCACACCATCCAAGAAAGGGAAACAAGAAGGGAGGTGGGAGACAATGGAAGACGACAAGGAGAGATAAGACCTTGGGAAGGTGGACACGCCATCCAACACAAACGTATATTGTGGGGAGACAATGGGAGACAAGGGGAGACAAGGAGAGACAAGGGGAGACAAGACCTCGAGAAGGCGGAAACGCCATCAGGCAGACAAACCATCACAGGCACACATGTGGGGAGTGACAATGAGAGACAAAAAGGGGAGACAAGACGTCGTGAAGGCGGACGCACCATCAAACACAGGCACACGTGTGCGGAGACAATGGGAGACAATGGGAGACAATTGGTTCAATGGGAGACAAGGGTAGACAAGACCTCGGGAAGGCGGACAAGGGGAGACAAGACCTCGGGAAGGGGAACACACCATCCAAAACATGCAGGCACACATGTGGGGAAACAATGGGAGACAAGGGTAGACGGGTAGACAAGACCTCGGGAAGGCCGACACACCATCCAACACAGGCACACATGTGGAGGAGACAATGGGAGACAAAAGGAAAGAGAAGACGTCGAAAAGGCGGACGCACCATCCAACACAGGCACACGTGCGGGGAGGCTCTGGGAGACAATGGGGGGCAATGGGAGGCAAGACGTCGGCAAGCCTGACGCACCATCCAACAAGGGAAAACAAGAAGGGGCACCATGGGAGACAAAGGGAGAATCCAACAAAGGGAAACAAGAAAGAGCACAATGGGAGACAAAAGGAGACAAGTCCCTCGGAAAGGCGGACGTACCATCCAACAAGGGGAAACAAGAAGGATACAATGGGAGACAAAGGGAGACAAGACCCTCGGCAAGGCGGACACACCATCCAACAAGGGGAAACAAGAAGGGGTACAATGGGAGACAGAGGGAGACAAGACCTTCGGGAAGGCGGACACACCATCCAACACCAAGGCGGACACCTTAAGAAAGCATTAAGAACCGCTAACAGCACACTGCTTGGGAAACAAGAAGGGAGACAAAAGGGGAGACAAAAGGGGAAACAAAAGGGGAGACAAAAGGGGAGACAAGACCCTCGGGAAGGCGGACACACCATCCAACAAAGGGAAACAAGAAAGGAAACAAGAAGGGAGACAAGGGGAGACGAAAGGCATCCAACGGGGAGACAAGGGGAGACAAGGGGAGACAAAGGGAGACAAGGGGAGACAAGACGAAACAAGAAGGGGTACAAGGGAGACAAGGGGAGACAAGGAAAGACAAGGGGAGACAAGGGGAGACACACCATCCGACAAAGGGAAACAAGAAGGGAGACAAAGGGAGACAAGGGGAGACAAGACCCTCGGAAGGCGGACACACCATCCAACACCAAGGCGGACACCTTAAGAAAGCATTAAGAACCCCTAACAGTACACTGTTTGGGGTAAAATGGATGATTTAGGTACCCCCATTACTATCCACTACTTAGGAAACCTCCATCGCCAACATCGAGATCTCCGACAGTCTCTTGAAATCACTGTCGCATGCAGGGATGGAAGTAACAAATCTATTTGAAATCACCAACCAACAAATCATACTTCTCACCACTCAAACCACACCGAAATCACCGCACCAAGAGCCGAGTGACATGCCTGTTTCGGTCGTCTTCTTATCTGCTGACCCAGAGGCATTGTTGGAATCGGAAGTTGAACCCCTTGGGAGTTGCTCTGGCGAAACCACTTTCGGAAGACTCAGACACTCATCGACTCAGCACATACAAGATTCTATAGTTATACAACTAGCATGTTATTCTCACTATGCGATTTCATATTTTCCCCACCCAGCAAATTATGAATTCACAGTTAGTTAGTAGATGGAGATTTGCTTGGATATACTCCCAAACCCCAAAATCCATGGCAATTCCCAGGATTTACCACAAAAAACATCATAAAATGGTAAATCATCGGCAAAATCGGTCAATTGATGGAAAACAAAAATCATCTTCTGGGAAAATCCACC